AAAAAAAAAGAAACAACCAAGAGAGACTGGTAAGATTTATATGGATTGTATTTGCACACTTTTGTCTGTATACAGATTGTGCATACATCTGGAAGAATACAGGAAACGAGGTAAACAGATGAATTCAATTTTACTTGTATATACGTAGACTCTTTCTGAATGACTACGTAAGAAACAGTAAGGGGAAGGGGGCAGTTGTTGGAAATGAATGGAGGACATAAGCATCTCTAAAAAATTTAAAACAAACTAGCATCCACTGACAAGATACAATCAATACTGACAGTGATCAAATTCTTAGATTTGCAGAAAGCAGATAAAAAAGCCCAAGTAATAGGCAAATATAGGGCATGATCTTCTGTACATCAAAGGTAAATTTGAAGTTCATCAAAGAAAATCACATATTCTCTAGCTATTATAAACTCTAAAGAAGCTGGGAAAGTATCAAATATTTCTAATCTATCACCTCAACACAAATGAACAACAGCACTTCTTATAAATGCTATCTGCAAGGCATCCTTGTATTAAGTGAAATTAGGAACAATTACTAGTTGTTTTCTTATTTATTCCTGATTTAACTTTTTTCCAAATCTATGATAAAGAGGGAATTTTTTTCCTTAATTCATGCTCACTGTATATTAATTATAGTGGCATGTTCTTCTATTCAGAATTGTCATCTTATTAATTACATACACGATCCACATGCTATATACTAATCCACTGCAGTTCCAATAAGAGACAGAAGAGGTAGGAAGGATATCAGGTCAAATGGTAATCATCAGAAATAGCACAAGATATACTACTGAAAGACATAGTGGTTACTTTAAAACTGGATATACTGAGCAATGTTAACAATCTACCTTTTAGAAAAACAGTTCCAATTATTCATTTGGAAAACATAAATAGGAATTAGAATAGAATTTAATTCTGGCAGCATTTAATGTTATTTTAGTGGCAAAAATGAGTACACGTGAGAAATGGGCTGCAGAGCTCAGAACACCTGAGCATCTTACCTTCTTCTGAAGAACATTAACTTTCCGTTCTTTCACATCTAGCATGTCTTTCAGATCATGTATCTCTCCAGCCTGAGTCCCCTTCTCCTCAGCCATCTCCTGAATTTGTTTTGTCTTTTTATTCAGCATAGTTTCCTTCTCTTCTAAACGCAATCGGAGAGCATCCACCTAAGAATATAACAATTCCACACAAGATTAATTGGAAAGAAAGCAATGTAGTTCCTTTAGAGTACATATGTTATGAAAGCTTTATAAACAGGTTGAGTTATTCCTATTTTAAGGATAAATAAAACTGGGATTCAAG